GTCGGGATTGCTCCCTGGAAACACAATTCTGGGACTTGTTCTGCATATGTAACCAAACTGAGTGCTCTGTAGCACAAGTATGGGATGGTACCATCCTGACGTTAACCTTTAGAAGATGTGTAGATGAAACATGAATTGATAGTTGGAACCAATTGGTTTCTCTGGTTAATATAGCTCATATGCGAGATGAAGCTGATTCGCCCATTTGGTCTCTGGAGGCAAATGGGACCTTTTCCGTTAGTTCTTTCTATAAGCAAATCAAGTTTGGGGGGATAAAACCTATCATTGGAGATAAGCTCTGGAAGGTTATTTGTCCGCAAAAGATCCATGTGTTTTCATGGCTCTGTGTCCATAACAAAGTGCTTACACGTGATAATTTGGCTAAAAGGAGACATGTGGATGATCTGTCTTGCCTCTTCTGTTGCGAGAATGAAACTGGACATCATTTACTTTTGGAATGTGTGGTGGCGAAACAGATTTGGGACTTTGTTTTGGAGTGTTTTGATTGCCCATGTTTTTCCAATTTTGATGATGTGTGCGCCTTATGGCAGAATTATAAGAAAAATCGAGTTCTTAATCTGACAGTGGCTGCATCCTTGTGGAGCATCTCGAAACTGAGAAATGACTTTTTTTTTCAGGGGTGCACCTGGAGAAGTGTCAATTGTGTCCTAGAAAAGCTAAGCTCTCATCTGCATCAATGGAAGGTACTCTGCAATGACACTCAGGCGAGGTTACTGCTGCAATGCATTCGTCTCCTGGACAAGCGTCACGGGGAGCTGATGCGAATTGCATGGGTCTGATCGTAGAAGCTAGGGAGATGAAGTATCGCCTGGGTTCTAGCTTTTAGTTAGTTCTCTGGTGTCCTTTTATTTCTCTTGGTCTGTAATATTTCAGTACGCTGGAACTTGTGTTTTTCTAGAGGAACTCCCTTCTCCTGGTTTTAGTTGGGTACGTTGGGGTGCCTTGTCCCCCAGGTGCTGTGGTGAAAAATTGCTCTATGTAAGGTCGTTGAACTCTGGTTTTTGTTTTCGCTTCATTAATAAAATGGGGCAGGGGGAAATCCCTTTCATTCAAAAAAAATTAATTTTGATACTATTACTGATTAATTTTCATAAAATATTAGAAGAAAGTGTGTTGTGTAACCAATGCAATTGTTCGTCTTCCAAGATACAAGATGGTTCATTAGTTCTGCATTGCTATGTGAGCATATGATGGAACCTTAGCATGAGATGTCTATCCTAAGAAAAATGTAGTTGTTTTTTAAAAACAAAAATTGTGACCATAGATGAGTAGTTCCCGTCCAGATATGTATCTAATGAGAGTTTAGGGATATTTCTTCACACATTCAATTAAAGTTGCTATTGAAATATAAGAAAATGTTTCCAAAAATATTTCTGCATAGAGGCCCCACTTTATCTGCTTGCAACACGGCCACCCGATGTGTCAGGACCGGCCCTGCAGCTTAGCCCCTTCCTTCCTTGTCTTCACCAAGCCTAAGCCGGAACATTTAATTATAAGCTCGTACCACACAAGACAATAGTACATGGGCCATCCATATAGCAGCGTGTTTCTTTTCTAGCTTTCTCTTTTCCATTTTATTCCTTTTTCTTGGACTCATCCAGTTTACAGAATTTCCAAATCAAAGGAATAGGAAAAGTAGAGTATTTCAAATGCCTTCTTTACACCCACCCTTATGAATTTTCATGGATTCTCACCTAATTCTAAGAATACTTAGCTCGAGCAATTTTGACACAATCATAAGAAATCTAGTACTTCCATTCCTATAAAACAAATGCCATGCATAGTAAAAAAAATCTGAAAGGTCAAAATCATGCAGAAATCCTTCAAAAATCCTACAAAGCGAATGTGCCCTTCAAGTTTTTGACTGGTTTTCTCCATTTCCCGGTGTTCTTTCTTTTCCTTTTTTCTCTTTAAAAATTAGGACCATTTAATGAAATAGGGCATTAAAACATTTATTAATATATTTTTAATATTAAATAATTCGTGACCATTTTGAGATCCAGGAATATTTTTTAATCCAACTATATGTTTCAAACTCTTGAATATATTTTAAAAATTTATGAATTTTTTAAATGAAAACCATTAAAAATCATGCATATTTTAATAAATTCATTAATGTTATTTAAATCATGTTTTTTTGCAATAATATACTTTGTCAAAACATGGTAGGTGCCTTCTTCAGAACCATTAGTTGTTTGTTTCCTAAACAAGTTTTTTCGTGAGCGTACATCAAATCATTACTTTTCATATATAAGAAATTTAAAATATAAATGATCATCTGATTAATATACATGTAAAATACAAGAATATTTTCTCCAAATGCATTAGTACCATATATACAAGAATTTCTAAGATTTACAACAAATATTAAGACATGTTAATTGGTGGATTCAATGTCGGCCCAAACATTTGTCCTTTGCAACTGGTCGCCCTATTCCTCGCTCTAGGCGACATATAGAGGATCCCCGAGGATGGAAACAGACAAATAAATTATGAAGCTACTAACGGCGTACAACATACCACGTCTCATGAGACTGATTAGTTGCTTCCATTCGCAGCTACAGGCTGGCAAGGCATGGCCACACCACTAGTATATTTAAGTTTTGTTTTGATTAGCTAGAAAATAGACACACAAACCCATAATGCAGTAATGTCATGGTAGAAAAAAATATAAGTGGATTAGTGTCTGAGGACAAGTAAAAAAAACTGGATGCGCTAACGCGCAAGATTGTGTTGTATTAGGTGTTGGTCAGGTAAAGGTTGATCAAGCCAATGATGCTTGTATAATTTTTCATCGCCGTTTATTTGCCAAAACAATCACATTCTAAATGAGATGATGAATTTATCTTCAAATTTACTTTGAGTGTGCTCATAGTATAAGCTAAGGAAAGTGCATGTCAAACAATTGACATTCTAGAGGTGATGGGGATCACTGAAATAATATTTAAATTATACGCCTATTAAAAGTAGATGAATATGTAGACCACAAAGTTGATATTCATTTTACATCACCCGCATGGTGGTACCGAGTCACACATTGAACAATTGTCTTAGTAACAAGGCAAAGCAACACCTGTTGGATAGATCATTACTCTACATCAGAGCTATCTCTCTCTCTCTCTCTCTCTCTC